ATTTGTATATATATACATATATGTATGTATATAAAACATACACAGACACACACATATATACATATATATTCATTATGTGCATATATATATATATATATATATATATATATATATATATATATATATATATATATATATATATACAAGTGTGTGTGTGTGTGTGTGTGTGTGTGTGTGTGTGTGTGTGTGTGTGTGTGTGTGTTGTGTGTGTGTGTGTGTGTGGTGTGTGTGTGTGTGTGTGTGTGTGTGTGTGTGTGTGTGTGTGTGTGTGTGTGTGTGTGTGTGTGTGTGTGTGTGTGTGTGTGTGTGTGTGTGTGTGTGTGTGTGTGTGTGTGTGTGTGTGGTGTGTGTGTGTGTGTGTGTGTGTGTGTGTGTGTGTGTGTGTGTGTGTGTGTGTGTGTGTGCGCGCGCGCGTGTGTGTGTGTGTGTGTGTGTGTGTGGTATGTGTGTGTGTGTGTGTGTGTGTGTGTGTGTGTGTGTGTGTGTGTGTGTGTGTGTGTGTGTGTGTGTGTGTGGTGTGTGTGTGTGTGTGTGTGGAAAGGGAGAGAGAGACCAATAGAAACGCGTGCAAGTTCTCCGACTGCGCAACGAGAACTGACCGTGGGCAAGACAGGCCCCTCCCAGGGCCACGGGATTCGAGGCGAAGATCTAGATTTCGTCCAAAGGAAACACGACGAGGAGCGCGGCCACTGCCCTCCCGCCCCTGCCCGCCATCTCGAGGCGCGTGAGGTCATTTTGAATCGAATGCCACGGCGCGGTTTGGCTCTCGACGTGGCAGGACTTCGCCGGCAGGAATCTTCAAATTTTCATGGCAACGCATGAACGATTTATGGAATGCTCATGTTTTCCCCCCAGCGGACGGCGCCGAGAAAACCGTGGAATTCCTTCACATCCTAGAAGAATATCCATTTAGATTTTTTTTATCTTTTTTTTTAGATACTGGGGAAAACCCTCGAGATTGTTATTTTAGGGCTTAAGAAATTGACTAAGTTTAAGCAAGTGAATCCGGTATTTGTTGGTTTTTCCAATTTCATAGATAAATAGTTAAATAGTGTTTCCATTTTCTTGTTTTATCATAGCCTATTGCGTCTTAAATATACGAGTACTTAGCATAACATTGCAAGTAGACAACGTCAAAAACGGAATAGAAGTCAGAAATAACTTGTATTCAGGAGTGTGTGGATTTCATTTGTTTATTCTTCTAAAATGGTATGAGTGGAACATTTTTCTTAAAATGGATAATCACTTAAACATTTAAATTCAGTCTTAGTGTTATCGTTGTTCTTCGCACTATCATTTTAATCATTATCATTATCACTGCTATTACTGTCTCGGTCAGTAGCTGCAGTACCACTGCCACCACCACCAGGTCATGACCAAGATCACTATTACTACCACCACCACTGACCATCACTATCACCATCATCATAATCGCCACCATCGTTACACAACACCATCGTTGTTGTGTAACTATAATCCATTGCAACAGATGCAAATGCAATGACACACTAACAATTGTGACATTGGAAGGGCACTGCAGTTCGAATTTAGCGAGTATTGACCTGCCTAGCATTGCATTCACAACACTATCCTTTCATAAACTATCGCATATGTTACGCCACATACATTTTTACCCCCTTTCCTATTACCCTGTTAGTGGACCAGTAGTATATAAACAAACTTCATATTACGAAAATGTAAGAGAAAGAAGAGCGGGTTGTGTACAAGAGAATAGGATGATTATTTTCGGGTTATGTAAATGAACGACGTCCAAGCCATAAGCGCTTCTGTTAACGAGGGAAGGCGTTAGCGGCTAACAAACTCGGAGACAGAAACGCCGCGAGGTGCTGCAAAAAAGGTTCCTGACCTTTTTCTCAATTCTCGTATAGGTTTGAGAAAAATACAGTGTTTTAATATGGGCTGGTGTCCATTAGGTTGGCTTTCATTATGGTCTGTTCGTGTTATTATCACTTTTAAAAGCCCTGATATTCTTTCTTCTCTACTAACAATAGCACTGTAAGGCGGCTATTAGTCAGCCATTTCCTTGGAGAGAGAGAGAGAGACAGAGACAGAGGGGGGAGGGGGGTCCCGAATATACCTAGGCGTTTATCAAGTCGATAATACGCTTTATAAAAGGTAAGGTATAACCTGTTGGTGTTATGGAATGCCAGAGAAAACAACACAGTAATGAGGATGGAAAGACGGAGATATCTATGATGATAAGTTGCTGAGAAAAAAACACACAGGCAGGCGCTATATTGGCTGTTAATTCCTTCTAAAGTATTACATGATACTTTATACACGACGGACCAGCGCTCTTGCGTTTAATACTAAATTCTACCTCTTTCAGTTTTTTGTTGTTTTCTCTAAGTACCACGCTGATTTTACACAATAAATGCAGTAGCACTGACATACAAAGCCAATTATATGTGTAAAATAACTGCTAATTCAAAATAGGATATACACAAAGAGTAAAAAAAATCGTAATGTCGCTAATGATTATAAAGTGTAGAGTTAGCATACAATCCAAGAATATTGAATAGTATATAGTTTCCATCTTGCATCAGCATCTTTGCATCTGTTCTTGATCAACTACCTGATTACGAGAAAGCTTATGAAATTCGGATCATTACTTTCGTTGCGTTGAAGTCCAAATCCAAAGGCACGGTTTGGCACAGTATTTTGGCTGACATTTATTAATTTTTCGTCATTCATACAGGGCAAAAAAATAACTATATCTTAACTGAGCAACATAACAGTGAAAAGTTTGGGAATTACCTTTCAAGAGAGACGCCGAGGTCAGAAACAGGAAGGGAAATTACAGGGAAGTCGCAGAGAGAATAGATTTTTTTAGCAGTTTTTTTCCTACACTTGCAGTGATATACATATATTGTACCATACATACATACATAGCATAACATGCATATATGCATAATATATATATATACATATATAATAACAAATAAATAATAATATAATATATATAATAATATAATTAAATATAAAAAATAAAATAATAAAATATAATAAATAATAATAGAATATAGATAGTGATATAGATATAGAGAAATATATAAAAAATAATATATAAATAATATATATAATAAATAAATATATATAATAAATAAAAATAAAATAATATATAATAAATAATATAAATATATAAATAATAATAATAACATAAAATATATATAAAAAAAGATAGATAGATAGTGTAGAATAGTAGTGTGTCGTGTGTATGACTAATAACTAATTTAATTCACAAAAAATAACAGATATTCTATCAAATATCATATATATATAATAAATAATATATAAATATGTAATATATATAATAATAATATATATTATATATAATATATATATAGATATAGTATATATATATATGCTATAAAAATAATAGAAATTTACAAATATAGAGAAAAAGAAGAAAGATAATAGAATAATTTAAATGATAACGAATCACTAATAGGAAATACAAAAGCGCTAGATAGTGAATTATAAGAAATATCTTACTAATTCTCAAGACAGAGCTCATCGAAAAAAATCATTCTCTATACATAGAAATAAATATAATCATCATCAAAATCTATCATCAAAAAATCATCTCTCAAAATCAATCTACTCAGCATCATCATCAATCACATCAAATAATCAGAATCTACAACATCTCATCATCTTGCTCTCTCCTCTTCCATCACATCCTCTCTACCAACCTCCTGCTCTTCATCATCAATCTCTCTCATCTATATAAAATCCATCTTGAATCTACTCCATCATATTCCTCTCTCTCTCGAAATTTACAAAAATACCTCGATAACAAAACAAATCAAAAACAAAAATAAAAAAAAAATAAACTCTGAAAAAAAAAATAATAAAAAATTAAAAAATCATCTATCATCATCTCTCTCTCATCATATACACAAATACTCATCTAAATAGAAAAACTTAAAACATGAACCCAAAGCTCAAAAAAAAACACAAAATAAATACATACAACACACACATCAAAAATCAATCATAAAACAAAAAAAAAAACAAAAAAAAAAAAATAAAAAATAATCACAATCAATAAGATCATCTCAGATCATACAACAATAACAAAAAATCATACATAAATCATCTACATCATCATATCCTAAATCTATATCCAAAATCATAAATTAAATTCAGAAACAAAAATCCTTCTGTCTTCTTTCTCTGCTCATACTCATTCATACCAACCATCATCAATTAACACCAATACACACCCATCCTACAATAACCATCGTATACCCAACTCAAAAAAAAAAACCCATAAGCGATCAATCCTCAATACAACAACATCAAAAAAAAGAAATACACATCGATCAAAAATCAATAAAAACAAGAATAAAACTCTAATATCTCTCTCTATCTCTAAAAACTCTCTCTCAATCATCAAAAAAATCATCTCTCTACTCTCTCTCTCTCTCAAACAAATCAATCTCAAAAAAAACACCCACCCCGCCGCACACCCCCCCCCCACCCCCCTCCCCAACCCCCCCCTCCCCCCCGCCCCGCCCACCCCCCTCTTCCCGCCCTTCCTCCACGCTCCACCCTCCACACCTCACACCCACCCCCACACACCCCCACCTCCCCCACACCCACCCGACCCACCAACCACACACCACCACACTCTCATCACAACCAAACAAGAAAAAATAACACATATACACAATCACCACAAAACTATGTAAAAAATAATAGCAAACCAATACACAACTCATAACAATACAAATAAAACAACAAAATCAAACACAAAATAAAAAAAAAAAATAAAAAATAATAAAATATAACTAAAAATTACAGCCATTTTAAAATCCCATCAAATCAATAATTCTCTCACATCTCATCATAATAATTCGTCTCGTCTCTCTCTCCCCATCCTCCCTCCCGCTCCCTCCTCCTCCTCCCGTCCTCTCTCCCTCTCGCCCCTTCTCTCCTCTGCTCTCTCTCTTTTCTCTCTCCCTTTCCTCTTCTTCTTCCTCTCTCTCCTTCTTCTTCCTCTCTCTCCTTCTTCTTCCTCTTTCTTTTTCTCTCTCTTCTTTCTCTCTCTCTTTCCCTCTCTGCTAGTGTTGTGTGCTTCTCTCCCTGGTATATCTTTTTTTGCGCTGTTTTTGTATTTGCTCTCCTCTCGTGTTTCTTGCTTCCTTATGTGTGTTTCTGCTCGCGACTACGAGCTTTTTTTAATTTGTTATATTATTCGTTGGGTTTGGCTTCTTTGTGTTCTCGTTCGTGTGTGTTCGCTGTGATTTGCTGCGATCCGCTAGCGGGGTCGTGTGTGGTTCTCGCATCGATTCGTCTTCTTACTGCGTGTATTTCTTGTTCGTTTGTTTGATCTGGTGCTGTGTGCTGTGTTCTAGTGAGTATGTCTCCTCTGTCTCTGGGTGCTTGGAAGTCATCTTTCTTCTTTTCGTTTTTGTTATCGTGCCTGGCTGTGTATGTTATGCATACGTCTTCTTTTTGGTGTTCTTGGAGTCTGTGTTCTTGAATAATGTATGTTTTCTGTGCTGAGTCGTTCTTTGTAGGATAGATATTACGTGTTGGTTAATTTTGTATTTTTTCTAGGTATTAATGTGATATCTCATTCGTTACTACTTCTAGATAATTCTTGAATGATATCGTAGGTATCATACATCTGCGACCTACTCGTTGATATTATAGCGTGTACCTATATAGTTATATGTCTGCAGGACGGATCCGTGGATTGGTGCTGGCTAGCGATATGGTTGATGCTTGCCTGTGTCGCGCTATCTCCTATGTTATATAGCTGAGTGCGTTAATTATATCTAGGCGATGTTGATCCTCAACTGAATGCTGTAGGGTATGTTCTATCGTTCTCTTTCTCGTCATCTAATATCCGCTATTTGTAGTCTCATAATGTAGTGTTCATTATGTTAGGAGTTTAGCTGCGTCGCGGGTTGCCAGGGCCGAAGGCACCACCGCCTCGCAGCTGGTTGAGATGGCCTTGGAGCGGACATTAATTGTGCTATTCAAATGCTTACCGCAGATTTCCTAGTGCTATCTTGGAAGCCGCCCACGCGCTGCATCAACGCTTTCCCTTGGGATCATTAAGGGATCCAGACAGCCATCCCCTTTTTCTTCAAGAATGTGATTAAACACTGATTGTTGCATCCGTGTATTCAAACCTTCCATTAAATTCCATCCTTTCCTCCAATTTTCTTGACACTCCACGCATATCTTCTGACTGCGGGCATCACCTCCGGCCCATCCCGATTTCGCACACAATAAGCGTGCGAATTTTGAGACAACCAAAATTATACCAGCTAGGCTTTTACTCTCCCGATCCAGCTAAGTTGAAACAGCACCGCTATAAAGAAAAATGAAACCTCACTTCGCTTAAAATGACACCAGGATATTGCTTTTCCCTTCCGCAGCAACAAAATGAAAGATAACGTATATATGAAGTTCTATTAATCTGCTGTTATTTAAAAATCATTACATACTCTGCGGTTTGCTCTTTTTATATTAATGTTCATAATCAAGTTCTAGACAGTTTAGAACAGAAGGACA